GATCACTGCCTATCTCTGCTCCTCTCACGATCTTGACATCAGCGAAATATTGTCTAATGTGCCGGTCATATATAAAATAGTCAATTATACTATTTCGCTCCAAGCACGAAAAAATAATTTTGTGAAATATTTTGTGTCTGTAGAATGAATTCCCTATGAGGAGGTCATTATCAACACAAAAGTTTGTTAGCCACTGTCAATTGTTATTTTTTACTATTTCACCTCCATGCAGCCCTAGAATGCCATATCCTGATATAACATCATTTACTGTTCTGGCATTAAAATCCCCACTCATGATTACAAATCTTCCTTTTTCCTTGGCTTTATCTACAATTTTTTTTGTAAATCCGAGTAGAATTCCATCTTTTCCATAACACTGCTATCCTCAGTTGGTGAACACGCCTGGACTATGGAAATCCTACCAATGGACATCTTAAAATCTGCCACCATCAATCGTGGAGATAATGGTTCCCAGTCCTCCAAACGATCTAACATATTGGGCGACATTAATAGGCCTACCCCTTCCTTGGTGAAAATCCCTCCAGGTACTCCAGCATAAATTAAGGAGTGATTTCTGGCTAACTTCATTTCATCACTGCCTTTCTTCTTAAGTTCACTTATGCCCAGAATTTAATCATTTCTTCCTCCAGCTCGACCTCCTTTCCAGTTAAAATTTTAATGTTCCATGTTCCCATTCGAATATCCTTAAGAATGTTTTCCTTGAAGACTGTCCACATCCGAGGCTAGGTAAATTTTCTGAATCTGCTGTACTCCAGACGGGTGATTGACTCAGCAGGGACTAGTTAAAATGCCAAACTAGTGGGGAATAACGCTCCCCTGGGCTCCTCAGTTCAGTACACCCTCAGGACCACCTTCCCTGGATTGGGGGAGGGGGAGTATACCCTGATCACCAGTTGTCTATAGCAATGGCGCAAGTTGCGCCATCAAAATATTTGAGGGGGACATATTTTGAATTTTCGAGGGAGCAAATTTCGACGGGATTACGAATTTTTGGACGAAGGGACAAGGAGGAAACATAGAACAAACTGCAGCAATTGTGATTGTATATGATCTACGATTTTTCTAATTCTATCTTAGCTTCTTCTGTTTTTAAGGTAATTCTGTTTATTTTTTAAAGGTAAGCTATAAAGTATCCTGGGAGGAGGGAGACAAGTAGGTTCTTGCGCCATTAACCTTGCGGATCTGAGCTCAGTACACGCCACTCTCACAACAGAACAGTAAACTTTACACACATTCATACACAAGGACATATGCGGATCTGGTGCTGGTTTCTGGAGAAAGGATGAACCAGAGGAAGGTGTCTATATCACTTGGCAAATATGCAAGGGTACTCCAATCTGAAATACTGGTGATAATTCACTGCGCCTCAAAGTTCTTACTCGATGGATTGGTGGGGAGGAACATTTCCATCCATACTGACAGTCAAGCGGCAATACTAGCGCTGGACAATGACACAACTAGATCTAAGGTTGTTAAGGATTGTGTGAAGGTTCTTTTTTTTTCTGTTCTTCCCTACCTCTCCTTTTAGGCTATACGGGATTTTCCCGGGCCGGGGAATTTAAAGTCCCCTACGGCACCGGGACACGAACTCGAACTTTTTATAATCTTCTCAAATCTGTTATCGAGTTGCCAGGCAACTCACGGTGCTGTGCACACGCTTTAGCCCATTCGGCCACCCCGCCCCTTATGTGAAGGTTCTTAATGACCTATCTAGATTTGACAAGGTAAACATTGAATGGGTTCCAAGTCACTCTGGAGTTCATGGCAATGAGGCTCACAAACGACCCCCATAACTCCCTAATCCATTTGTGGAATTACTCTGAGTCTAATAAATAATAAAATTGAGGAGATCTATGGTGATTAAGCCAAAAAATACTGGTCCTTGAAAAAATAGACTGACTCTAGATTGTTCCTGAATGAAATCTATCCAAAAGAAGCAAACTACTAATTAACTTGAACAGGAACTCACTTAAGAAAATTACAACATTATATACTGGACACTGTAAACTGAATTATCACATGTTAAATCTCCGGCTTACAGAGCCATCTCTTTGTAGGTTCTGTGGTCGGGAGGATGAAACGGCCTATGATATCACTTGTTGGTGCGACAGGTATGCTGAATTGAGGTTACGTTTGTTTGGCATTGATAGGATGATTGATCCCAAGACAAAGTGTGGGCGGGGTGGCCGAATGGGCTAAAGCGTGGGCACTGCACCGCCGTTGCCCGGCAACCTGACATATGAATCAAAGATATAAAAATAAAAAATAGTCAGGAGTTCGGCGTCCCGGTGCCGAGGGAGTCTTTTAAATCCCTGCTCACACCCCCTGTCCTGGGAAAATCCCGTATAGCCTTAACGGCAAGGAAAAAAAAAAGATCCCAAGACAAACAAGCTTGTCAACCCAACAAGTCTACATCAGTTTATCGAGACTGCAGCAATTACACTCTTATAGGAGTGACTTTAGTAGAGGCATACAATAGGCCTTCATGGCGGCGGTGCATTTTGCCACAAAAAATAAATAAAATAAAATAAAAATTTATCTTTTTTCTATCTTTAAGTTTTTATATCTTTCTTTTTATTTGATCGAAAGTTTCTGTTTGATTTTACTTTAAACCTTCTGTTCAGTCCTCTCACCATTACATATATCATTATTTACAAAGAATAAAAAGACAAGAAAAAATAAATATATAAGGAAATGGGTAACAAGGATTATAATTATAAAAAGATTCTATCAATTGATTATTACAGAGTATTAATATTTCTAAAGGCAAAAAATATATACATAAGTATAATATTTGTGGCATTAATTATTATGACATGGAACTGAAACCTGGAGCAAAAAGTACAATCTAGAAATGAAACTTCTGGCTGCAAGATGAAGGAAGTTATGCCAAATTAGGTCTGAATAATTAAAAAGAAGGCACAGAGGTTAAGATGGGTAGAGCATGTAGCTCGGAGTAATTCATCTGGAAGTCTCTAGACGATGAAGAATCCCCCAATAGTAAGCAAAAGAACACATGGAAGGGCAAAAAGCAAATGGATATATCAAATCAACAAAGATGCAAAAGATTTGCATGCAGATAACTGGAAAGAAATGGCCCAAGATAGGCAGAAATAGAGTAGGCTTGTTAAGGTGGAAAAAGACCTACAAGGTCTAATGCAAACAGAAAAAAAAAATTAAAAAAGAAAATAATACAGTAAACTATAAGGGAAGGAGAAGACAATGTAAAAAAAATATTCTGTGAATAGTATGTTAAGCCTATTACAAAACTTTTTTTTTTCTTTCATAGTATGAAATGGACCAAGTAGTTATTTTAACAGAATGTTTTTCCTATGTAATAATTCCAATCACTTGACCCATTGGATATAAAATAAATAAATGGTTTGATAAACACAAAATTGCACTAAGAACACTATTTACAGTTGCCACAGATATGATGGATGGGACATGGTCTACGAAGGAATAAGCACTGAATAAGATGACTAGAAGAAAGCTATATAAAATTAATGTTAAAACTCACTTCTTAAGAAAATAATCCTTGAAAACATATATAAACTCAGAGATCAGGATCGCTGTTTAAAAATTAAGTAATTCATTTTTAGTTGGTAAATGGTTGACTGTCGTGGATAATGAAGAGAAGAATAGTTGGGGTGGTCAGTCAAAAAAGAATATTCGTAATTCATTTTTAGTGATTTATTTTTAATAGTTACAATAGTTTTATTTATTTGACGATTAATTTTTCATGGTATTTGAAAAAATATCTAAATAATTTTTTTGGATCACATCATAACCTTTAAAAAAATAATTAATACACAAGATTCATTAAACAATTAATAAATTAAGATCTAAATGATCAAAAAAGAATTCTTTGAATGGAATGTAATTATTTTTAAATAGAAAAAAAAAAAAAAAACAGTAATAAATTTGTTGCTTACATCCTACATTCACAGTCTTTCATAGTGTTTCAACATTTTCAAAATATAATAGTGAAGAGAGTAAGGAAATACAATTTTTCTGCAATTAAGTTTATTGTTTTTTTCATTTTAACTTGCTTGTGTTACCAATATATTTTTTAAAAATGTATTTTCCTTTCCAGTGTTGCATATAGGCCATTCTACTAACTCTGATATCAATTTTTTGTTAATAACATTATTCATATTGACATAAATACTTATTAATTTTAAAACTACACAACTTATCTGAATTAGTCCAGGCTCTCTCTTTTTTTTTGTTTTATATGGTTCACTTTTCCTTATAATCATAAATATTAAATTACAGATAACTATAATTATATACAATTCAATAGATATTTACATTTTTCAAACTTAAATAACGATGTATGATCACAATCAGATTGGTATATAAAGGAAAGAAAAATATAATAAAAAGAAAGCAGAAAGTAGAGTAGGGCGTAGCATATCAATGCAAACATATTTTGATGATACACTGATTCATGACTGAGCACATTCTTCTGGATACTGGATTAATAAGATTTAGCAGCACCAAAATAACTTACCCTACTCTTAAATCACACTCAAATTGATAGCAGTGATGTTTCACTGAAAATAAAAACGTTAACTGACCAGATAATTGTTACAAATCACACATTCAAAAATAATTATAATAAATTATCTAGGAGGTAACTTTTTTTTTAATTATTTTTTTTATTTTTATAAAGGTGGGTCTTTGGTATTACTAAATAATGAAAAAAAAAAAAAAGAAAAAAAAAGAAATATGAATAAACTACATAATATATAATTGTTAGAGTAATGTTCAGTAAAGAATTAATCAATAGTAGATCATTATTTCTAGTTACTAGTAATAGGGATTATCAATAATGAATTTTAAATAAAATTCAAATTAAAAATCAATCCATAGAAAAACATATATCTAGCATTTAGGAAATTTTAATAGATATTTTGTAAATTAATTAAGACAAATTATAAGTATTCTGAAATGAAAAATTGAAAACATTTAACCAGCTATTACCATTGAGTCAGTCTTTTAAAACATTACAAAAGGGCCTATATCACAAGAAAATCTAAATAAAACAAAATCTGAATACAATTTTAATCTAGATTTATAGAGAAATAAACTACAATATGTATAATTACATTGAAGATACACTTTATCAAAATGTTTATTTTATAAACTTAATTAGTAAATTTAAAGTAGTAAAGTTACATCTTATAACTCACTATATTAAGTGCTAAATACTCCATTTAAATTTCTTTAAAAACCTGTTCCCTTAAGTTGAAAAAACTATATTATTACACATAATGTAAAACTGCTAACTGATTTTGGTTTATTTACATAGGCAGGTTATTTTAGACTGAATGAAGGTTACCACAACCATATATATGATTTTAGAACTTTCTTTTATGCTATGAATAAAAATTCTTAAATGATTTGTAAGATAAAGTTATGAGAGATTGTTCTTTCTGTAGAAAATCAAACATATTTATTTACCACATATTGTAACACTTCATTCTGCTAAACCCTGCATACTTAAATTGGTATAATAACTATTTTTTATATATTCCATGAAAACATTTATGTATACATTGATATAAATAATATAATTGTTTAACTATCACAATGAGGCCAATATGAAATTTTATACAAAACAGAAATGTATAACAATATTCATTACCACCATATTACTATCAAGAATATTTGATGATTAGAAAGAACAGCAATTAAATGTCTTAACCTAGGACAAATGTGCATTCATGGTTTTAGATGTCTAAATCTAATTCACTAATAGCACTTTGTTAAAACTTTAATATTGTTCATAAATATGGAATATAGACACGCATCTTTGTACATTTCTTCAGAAATTTATACCCTGAGATTCCTACAAATAAAATACTTTATAATTTTCAGGAATGAGTGTAAAACATGATTCATTAACAAGTTTGATTTTTCTTGTGTTTAATTTTGATGTCCTCAAGGTTACGTAGATAAACCCTTAAAACAGCAAAGTATAACAAGAACAAAAAACTATATAATAAATATTTGCTCTTGATTAACAAGCACAAAATCCGTAAACATGTTTATTGGAGAGATAGCTGAGAGAGAAAGCTGCCCTGATTGACACCATATAAGATTTGGACCAAAAACCACAGCCAAGTTTGAAGATGTCATTTTGTTAAGGTCACACCTATCAATTACCTGAAAATGAATATTTGTTATTTTATCTTTCCAGTTAGCAGTATATATATAAAATATAAAAGTATACCCTAAAAACTGTAATTATATATATATATATATATATATATATATATATATATTGTAATGATTTTTATTTATCTAGTATTCACATTAAAAAAATATACCAAAGTTAAAAATGTTGTTGAGAGGAGGACGCAATCCCCACTATCCACTTGTCTGAACTAGGTATGGTTGATACAAAATTGTTTGCATCTAGATACAAAATTGTTTGTATCTAGATACAATTGATACTGCTACTTTTATGTATCTGATACTTTTGTACCTGATATAAATGGTTTAGTAGTTTGTCATCACCTTCCGATTACTTTGTGTCTGATGCAGTATTTTTGCAAATCTGTGAGACCACTTCCTCCTATAACCTTACAATAATCCTAATAAATGTTTCTAGAAATGTTAATCCTTTATTATTATTTTGTTATCCATTATCATTTTGTGATTTTTTAATATGAATTCATTATTAATTGATTTACTATTTAATATTTGTTTAATTATATTTTTATTTCTACATAATTTCTTTAGAACTATCTATTCATTTATTTTAATTTAGTTAAAAGTTTATTTGTAGATAAATATATACACGCTTTTTTGATTTTTTAAAATAATATTAATTGATATAAATTTCCTATAAAATTGACATATATTATTATATGTCATACTTCTTTTTATTTTCACTTACCTATTACTTTTAACTTATAATGCTCATTCATAATAATATTAGTTGAGAATCTTCATTTCTGAACTAATAAGTACATCCAAAAACATAATTTTACTTCTAAACTAATTAAGCAGTTTTATTTCAAATTGAAAATATTCAATGGGAGATAAATATTCATGACGCAGTCATAATAAAGTTTTTATTGGTGCCAACATTTCAACCCAAATATTGTGGGTCATCATCAGGACTGAAAAATTGTTTAATACATTCAGAGATATAATATTATAAGACATATAATGTAAATAAAAATAATTTTAAAAAATAGTGATTGATGATATATGAAATAGACAAACAAAAATGAGTAAAAATTTATATGAATTAAAAATAATATATATAAAATGTAATATTTACTCTTACTAATCGTGTTTCGAGCACTGAAGGTATTCAAGTACCGACACATTGGTAGATAAGTAAAAGTGTCGGTGGAGGATTTTCCAAATGTGCATTTAAGATAGCAAAAGGTAGGTAAACATGATCAAAGGAGGGAGGAGGAGGAGAGGGGATTACATTTCTGTTTGTAGAATGCAAATAATTTGATAACTAAAATATTCAAGATGTGTACAAGATTTGCCTTGTTTCTTATAGTTACAAAATTGTGACTATTGGCTTGTAATAAAATAAAAATAAATAAGAGGTGACAGTCAATAAAACATAAAATAGTTTGAGTGATGATATACAATAGTTAGCCAAATAATGTTTACAATTCAGACAATTTTAATGAATTTAAATGTTAAGTAGCACAATATATATTATACAATATTGATCATAAAAAAAACTATTATATAAAAGATTACATAGTACTAATAGTATAAGTATTTGCTTGACGGAGACACTCAATAAAGTTAGAATCGGTAATAATCTGTCCGAAAAATTTGATGTCCGTTCGGGTTTAAAACAGGGGGATTCCCTTTCGCCTGTCCTGTTCAATCTGGCATTAGAACATGCCATTAGGGAGGTAATGCGTACCGAGAAAGGGCTGGATCTGGGTGGGACAACATCCGTGCTGGGCTATGCTGATGATCTGGTATTGTTAAGCGAAGACGTAGAAACTATAAAACTAAATACAACGTTAATGAAAGCCAATAAAGAACTAGAACTCGAAATAAACGTGAATAAAACAAAATATATGGTTAGTTGCAAAAATGGCGATACTATTGATGATATTGATATAGATGGTAATATGTTTGAACAGGTAGATAAATTTAGGTATCTAGGTTCTACGATAACTAGAAATAACGAAATTGAAGAAGAGATTAAGGTTAGGCTGAAGGCGGGAAATGCTTGTTATTTTTCTGTGACAAAACTACTAAGTTCGCGCCTCTTGTCCCGGAACTTAAAAATTAGAATCTATAAAACAATTATCTTGCCTACAGTTCTTTATGGATGCGAAACTTGGCCTCTTACATTAAGGGATGAGCAGCGTCTGAAGGTTTTTGAGAGTAAAGTATTGCGTAGAATATTTGGACCGAAGAAGGATGAGTTAACCAGAGAGTTCAGACAGTTACACAACGCCGAATTGCGTGAACTGTATCCGGGTAATATAATTGAGGTAATTTCATCCAGCGAATCAAATGGGCTTGTAAAGTTGTGGGGCTTAGTAACGAGAGAATTCCTAAAAGGTTAATATTTGCTGTGCCGAATGGTAAGCGTCCGAGGGGTAGACCGAAGCAAAGGTGGGAAGATTGCATTAAAGCCCATCTGAAGGGACTGGGTTTGGGCGGCGAACAGTGGAGGGAGGTGTGTAATAAGCGATTGGTGGTGTAGGCATAGAACCTTCGGATTCGCTAAGCCTTTTATTATTTATTTATTATTATAATAGTATAAGCATAAACATATCTGTGTCTATTTATTGTAATTTTTATATATTAATATTGTGAATATTTACATCTGTATGTTGACATGGAAATAGGGAAAAATGAAAAATAATTTTTAATTATTATAGACTATTGTTTGAGGAGGAGGAAAATGTTCGAATATGTATTACAATCTTTTCTTTCTCTAATTTGTAGTTTAATGGATTATTTTTTTTCCAAATTAATGAATATAGCTCCCGAAAGTAGTCGCTTTTGATGGTTGGGAACTGTGACAAGTATGGTTGAGTTGTTAAAATCAAATATTTGGTTAAGGGTTATGGTGTGTTCGGCTAGTTTCGATGCGAGCGGTTGCGTGTGGAGATTCTGTATTTGTGTTGGTATATTCGTTTTTTGAGATAATTTTTTGTTTCTCCTATATAAGAAGAATTGCAGTTTGGGCTAGAGCATGTGATATGGTATACTATGTTTGATTGTTGTAGGAGCGGAACAGGATCTTTGAGTTTGAGTTTGATATATAAATTTCTTAATTACCTGTTAATTTTTCAAAACTATGTGTAGATGGGGGGATTTGGAAGTTAAAGATTATTTTATTTTTTGAGACAGGCCCAGAATGTATGGAATAGATCTGTATTGGCGAATCGTGGTGAGAGATTGAGACTCCTCCCACAAATCGCTTGTGGGAGACTGGTGAAGATGAGGTTTGGTTTGAAGGTTGATTTTGAATTAGGTTCTTTATTATGTGATTAGAAAAGTTGGATTTCAGTATCTTGTGTAGTTTTGCTAGGTTATTGTCGGGGAATTGCGGGTCAGATAATGTTAGACTGCGGTGCACCAGGTTTTTAGCTACACTAATTTTTTGGAGGTAAGGATGTTGGGGAAAAATAGTTTAGGAGACAGCCGGAGTAGGGAGGTTTATTGTATCAATTGGTGGATAAGGTATTGTCATTATTTCTGGAAATGAGGAGATCAAGAAAAGGGAGGGAATTATTTGATTCTATTTCAATAGGTTGTATGAGTTGAATGCAGAAAGTATGTTTGGAATAGCGTGGGGGTTGAAGATAAATAAAAGGTCATCAACATATTTTTTAATGAAAAAATATCATTAGGAAATTGGAGCAATATCGAGTCAATCAGGTTAATTAGGACAATATTGGAGAGGTCTGTTGCAAGGCAATTACCTATCGCCCGACCAGAAATTTGATGAAAAAATTTCTTTTGAACATGCAGGTTGCCAGAGTTACAACATAGAGAGAGGGAATGAAGGAATGAGGATTAATTGGGGGAAGTGTGTGGTTCTATGGTAGACCAATTTTCTTCAATTATTTGGAGAACACGGTATGTGGGAATATTGGTGAAGAGGCTTCCTGCATCAAGAGAGGCTAAGATGAAATGTGGTGGTATATTCAAGGATTTTAGTTGATCCAATAGGTGGAAGGGAGAAGAAATTTGTTGAATTTAGAGGATGGAGAGTTAATGTTAGAAATGACAGGTCGAAGAGGATTACTTGGTTTATGGATTTTCGGTAAGCCGTAGCACCGAGGTGCAGTGGAATTATAAGATATGAGATTTCTATAGATAAGGATTTTAACATGTTTGCTATTGAGAAGGTGTTTTAGATGTTGATTAAATTTGGTGAGGGTAGCATTATAAAATGCATAGACCAATTTTGAGTGAAATACAATTTTGGCAGGTTCAGATTTAAATCTTTCATTTCAACAACAAATGAAATTTAGCACCTTTACCTTTATTTGTAATACCAATATCCCACTCATTTTTCAAATCTCTAATTAATCTATCAATAAATAAATTACTGTTTTTAGAGCTTAATTCATTAGCAACATCTGCATTTAGTCTGTGGCCCCAGAAATTAGCTTCTGTGCCCGTGATAATTTTTTGTTAATCACACCATTGACCAAAACTTTTGGTAGTCGCGATAGTGGCATCTTTATGACTTTGCTAATATAGTTCAAGTGTAAAGACAGTGTATGGCAGAATAAAGGTTTTAACTGTGTTTCCTAACGTAAGATGTAATATGGACGGTTCTTTGGTAGTAAGAACAGTTTTTTTTTTTGCAAAAAATTAGTTAAAAAGTTCGATCTCCCGTATTTCGTCATAACCCCATAATTCTGAGCCATAATAAACTATAGCTCTTGCCACCAATTCAAAAACTTTAAATTTGGCATTTATACATAAATTCTGGTTCCACATAATGCGGTTCTAAATAGTATTAACTCCCAATTTTGCTACCGATATTTTTTCATTAAAATGTTTATTTAATGATAATTGAGCGGTTAAGCCTATACCTAAGTACTTTTCTTTTTTCCTAAAATACCACTTTTCATTTCTGGCCAGTTTCCCACCTTTTTTATGAATCATTATTTTTGATTTTTTGAGATTCTACATATTGCAAT